TGGTGTTGCTGTTTTAATGAACAATTTCCTATAACTTCTGTTAATGTTATTCATGTTTTAATTTCGTGATTCAATTTATTTCAAGTTTGGTTGGATTCTTGTTTTGAATTGGTCTGCATTTAGCTTAGCATAGTTCTGGTGTTTCTGCATCCAAGCTCTTTAAAAACAAGGAAAAACTCATTTAATTTCTTTTGAGTACATTAGTTTCTTTGCTCAAGTCTTCAATTCAATAGAACAAACGACCGTTAATAGAACAGAAGAATTTTCCTTTTTTGCACTCTGGATTTTATTGGTGGTTTAACTGAAATCTTTCATTCTGCTTTGTGCATCAATGAATGGCTTGATGTCAAGTTTCATGAGTCTGTTACTTATTTAATGTAGCCGCAAGCATGATCTTGTGAAATTTCAGCTGCTCTAATCTTCTAACTTTGTTAGGTATGGTGGTCGGCATTGGTGAAGTTTATTAATTGTAAATTTTACATGGGGGTAGGAAACTATGTTCTCATCTTGTGACCTTTGTGTAAGTATCCATTCTACAGGGAGTGATGTTATTCATAGTTAAAGACTATCGGTAATTATCATATGTGGCAGTTTGTTATTTAATGTATGAAGAAATAAAAAACTACCACATTAATACGTCAAATGACAAACTGTCGCATATAGGGACCAAACCCATCTATATATATAGCCAAAACCCCATCAAATTATGGCTACCATTACTTTTCAATCAATGGTGGAATGAAACCTTATGAATGTTGTTTGTAAATGTTGAAAATTGAAACCATAAATGTGGACCATCAATTTCAAAGTGTTGATAGGTTAGAAGTATCAGTACCTGGAACAAAAGGAGAGCTTCTGGAACTACATCAATGGTGAGAGGTATGAACTCAATCCATGAGTTTTTCGATTTTTCGATCCAATTTGTTTCCACGTAATTATAGTATTCACTATGAATGGCATTATTCTTTTAAAGGACTTCTCTCATCTTCTTTATTGTTGACTTTCACTTTGATTTCATTAATTTGTAATGTCAATAACCTGCTGTTTAGGTCTTGCTCTATAACTCTATGTATGTTCTGATATTGAAGGTCTTCTATTGAGGGGAAGCTGGTTTGAATACTGTGTAGTCTAGTTTAGGATATAGAATTTAAGTTTGAATCTTGTATTATGGAAGAGACTGTCAGTCATCATATTTCTGCTGGATGAGTTTGTCAAAAAAAGGAAAAAAGAAGTATAAAGAAATTCCTGTACGAAATAAGGCTTGGTTTGTTGTTTGTTTCTTATAGTGAGTTTGAATCCTACCTATGATACAAGATTGAAAATTTGGGTTTATAAGAAATGTTGGTTCTAAATTCTACTTCCAGGTATACCAAGAGTTAAATGCAAAAGTATGGGATGTTGTTATATCTCTGGTATGATCTCTGTCAGTTCTACAATTGTTCTCAATTCTGTTTTGCATTTTCTGTTCAGTTTGTTAACAATCTTTTTCTACTAGATTGACCAAGAGCGAGAAGGATGGCAAATTGATCACGCTTTATTGAAGAATGTGTTAGATATATTTGTTGAAATTGGAATGGGGCAGATGGAGCATTATGAGAAAGATTTCGAAGCAGCACTGCTCAATGACACTGCAGCTTATTATTCACGGAAAGCTTCAAACAGGATCTTAGAGGATTCATGTCCGGATAATATGTTGAAAGTAAATATTCCTTTTCATTTTACCATCCCCAAAAGAGAAAAAATTTAAGGGAAAAGAAAAAGAACACATGTACACAATGGAAAGAAGGGGAAAAAGTTCCAAATGGAAATTTTGGTTGCTTGGTTTATAATAATCTTCTTGCATATCCTGGTTGAGGAATGTTTAAAGCAGGAAAAGGACAGGGTTTCTCATTATCTCCATTCAAATAGTGAGACTAAGTTGCTTGAGGTTTGTTCCTGCTCTTGGATGTGGGCGTTGTTTTGTTGGCTTGAGGTTTGTTCCTGCTCTTGGATGTGGGCATTGTTTTGTTGGAGTATCCAGATTTGTTTAATAATTTGAGGGTTTCCATTAGATATTCTAATCTGTTTGACTTATATCCTCTTATGAGTCGATGACCATACATTTTTTTTTTTCCTGTAGAAAGTACAGCATGAGTTGTTATCTGTTTATGCGACCCAACTGCTGGAGAAGGAGCACTTGCTCGGCGGCTATTATTTGACAAGAGTGCCAATGATGAGCATGAGAGAAGTACCCTGACAAAGTTGAAGCAACAGTGTGGTGGTCAATTTACATCAAAAATGGAGGGAATGGTAAGCTCTCATATTATCTACATGCTGAAAATAGCTACATCAGACAATGTGATCAAATATGATCTATGTTTCTTCCTTTTCCACTAGTCCAGGTCACAGATTTAACGCTAGCTAGAGAAAATCAAACGAGCTTTGAAGAGTATCTTAGCACTAATCAAAATGCAAGTCCCGGGATTGATTTGACTATTATTGTCTTAACTGGTTTCTGGCCAAGTTACAAGTCCTTTGATCTTAATCTCTCAGCTGAGATGGTAGGAATTTATGATGCACCGACACGGATACGTGTGTCTGACACGGTACGTGTCGGATACGTCAACACGCGGTTTAAAAAAAAAATACATACACGACACGTCATTGACACGTTGATTAAATTCTTAAAAAATTTTCATTTATATGGCGTAAATTTAGTTTTATACTTATTAATTTTTCTCGTTAAAATTTTTTAAAAATGAGTACCTATTTGTTACTTGCTAATAATTTTTGAATTAACAATATATAATATTTCTAATATAAAAAGAAAAATGATTACGATAGAGTGTCCGAGAAGTGTAGGTATCAACTCGACACGCTACCCTAATTGAAGTCTTCGTGTTACAGAGATAGGAATGTATGCAAAATCTCATTTTCATGGAAGAGATCATATGATAGGCATCTTTCTTTATTACTTTGAACTTCTGTGTTAGGTCAAGTGCGTTGAAGTATTTAGAGAGTTCTACCAGACCAAAATGAAACACAAAAAAAAATTATGTGGATATGTTCTTTGGGTACTTGTAATATCAACGAAAAATTTGAACCAAAAACTATAGAGCTAATTTTGACAACCTACTAGGTGATTTGATGTGATTAACTAATGTCTTTTTTACTTAGTCACATTTGATATCACATAGTGATGGAAAGTTTTTCCCTCTCCGTAGGCTATTGCTTGGCTTCTGTTCAATTCCTCAAATAGATTGAGTTATCAGGAAATAATTACCCAGTTGAATCTATCAGATGATGATGATGACAGGCTGCTTCATTCCCTTTCATGCGCCAAATATAAGATTCTTAATAAGGAGCCAAATGCCAAAACAGTTTTTTCGACTGGTGTTTTTGAATTCAACTCCCAAGTTTATTGATAAAATGAGAAGAATTAAGGTAATCATTGCCCCCCAACCCCACTTCCTCAAAGCCAAATGGGCGAGAGAAAAATGATAAGAGAGGTAATTGCATTGTTTTCTTGTAAAATGTCTGTTGGTAACTGTTTTCATGAAATTGCAGATCCCTCTCCCTCCTGTCGATGAGAAAAAGAAGGTAATTGAAGTTGTCGACAAGGACAAACGGTACGCCATTGATACCTCAATTGTGCGTATAATGAAAAGTAGGAAAGTTTTGGGATATCAGCAGTTGGTTATGGAGTGCGTTGAGCAATTGGGGCACATGTTCAAGGTAACATGAGACATATTTATCTTCTAATTGGCCGTTTTATTTTATTTTGGACGAATTGATTCAGTGTAAATGTGCAATCTACAGCCTGATGTTAAAGCAATCAAGAAGAGAATTGAAGATTTGATCACTCGGGACTATTTGGAGAGGGACAGAGACAATCCTAACTTGTTCAAATACTTGGCTTGATTGAAACAAGTGCTAAAACTTTATATCCCCATCCCTCTGCACATCAGTGCAAAGAGGACGACGACATTGGTTGAGCTCAAACTAGTGTAAATGCTCCAAATCATCTCAAGTGACTTCTGGTTCCTTCAATGAAAGGCTTGACAAAATTTACCCTAAAAATCAGACCACGACGAATCCAACAGATCTTGTTTGAAAATAATAATAATAATAATAATTTCCATCCTAGCAGTCGAGATATCCAGCATCCTTCCGTCTTCTTAGTGCCATCCCTTGTATGTTTTCCTGGATGA